TGCACCACGTGGAGGTAAGTCTATCGCACACCCCAGGAAAACCAATAAGAGTAGCTTCATTCATCCAGATATCCGGCAGAGAGGTATTCGCATTCCTACGGTGGAAAGAATATCATACCAAGAATATTGAAATATTAATATTAATAATAGCATTATATCAAAAGACATCTTATAATAGGGCAGGCTGAAACCGGTTGGTAATACAAATATGCAAAATTAGAGAGGGCTAAAAAATTTTTTGTTCATTGAATTTCCCTTAAAATTATTGTGTCTTTTTAGGTATATTTTTGAAAGACTTTTTGAGATCAGTTATGATAGATCTTTTTCCAACAAAATTAGTGTCCCTCAAATGCAACACATAAGGACATTGCAACCATAAGTCTATTTATGGGATGATAAAGTGCCGGGAACTTTGAAAAAACGATGGAGTTTTCGTTAAAATTTGTCAATCAGGTGTTTGTTTCGGCTCTCTTTATAGTTGCAAATGACAATTCCATTGATCCGATCTGTAAGCTTACTAAAGAAGTTGGGCCCTGCCGCGCATCTAACAAGAGATGGGCATTTGACTACTCAAAGGGTATTTGTGAAGAATTCACCTATGGTGGTTGTAGAGGAAACGCCAACAATTTCGAAACAAAGGAGGCATGCGAACAAAAATGCTCACGTGAGAATCTATAATACCACTCCTATATCTATACTTTCCTTTCTAAATAATTGATTTTTTTGCATTAAAGCGAGTTCCACCCACCAAACTCCAGCAGCAAACAATGAGGTATTAGATAATGTCTGCCGACTTCCCCAAGACACAGGCCCATGTCGATCATCCGTAAAACGTTGGTCTTATGATGTCTCAAAAGGAAGTTGTGTTGAATTTATCTATGGAGGATGCCGTGGGAACGATAATAACTTCGAAACGAGAGAAGCCTGTGAGAAAAGATGTCAACCTTCTTCCTCATCTAATTTAGCTGAAGTTCCCACCACCTTGGACCTGCATGATAACAGTAATCTTGATCAAGTCTGCAGTCTGCCAACAGTAGTTGGACCATGTAAAGCAACTTACCGTCGTTGGGTGTATAATGCTCTCCAAGGAGGTTGTGTTGAATTCATCTACGGAGGTTGTGGTGGAAATGCCAACAACTTTGAGAGCAGAGAAGCGTGTGAAGCTAGGTGTGGAAAAAATCGTGGTTCGGTTACTGCATCCGAGCCAAAATTACCCTTAATCGTGGGCGATAATGAAGTTTGCTTTTTGCCGCATGAAAGGGGCAATTGTTACGGATTTTTTGAGAGATGGGGATTCGACCCCAAAACATTGCAGTGTGCCATGTTTATTTACGGCGGTTGTGGAGGAAATGGAAATAACTTTGAATCGAAAGAGGCTTGTGAGCTCCGCTGCATTCGTAAGTGACCTTAACACGACTTTTCTCTTGAATGAACATTTCTGTAGTCTTTTTTTCTGAAATGCTAATCGAGCATCAAACAACCACTTGGTAGTGTTTACATCGCTCTTCCTCGAGGGACTGAAAGTTGTAGTTACTTAGCCTATACAGATTAGATGCTAACTAAATGCAAGGGAAATCTTAGTTTTTATCAAATCCATAAGAGGGCAACACTTTATCTTCCGACCGGGCTTAAATATACGCCTAATATTAGTCTCGAAAGGCCAACAGCTGACTTTGGTACTGTAATGAAAGGCCAGAAATTACAACCATTTTTTAAATATATCATGCTATTTAGTTACACCGCCCGTACCTCGATCTCTGCGTTAAAAATTGTAATTAGTAGTTACACTGATAAATCGACATTTATATTTGTATATCAAATATTATAAAATTCGCGTTAATTTGAAAAATAAGCCAACAAGATTGTTGGAATGTGGACAGACTTAGTGCAGCATATAATGTAGTCCAGAAGTTAAATCCGGGACCAATTAGAGTGTCATGGTTATGAGTACCTTGAATGAGCTTAGACACTTAGGGTATAAAGGACAATGCATTAGTGCATCAAATATTATTATTTAATTACTATAATTTAGCCTTCGCGCCACCACCACCAAAGGATGCGGGAGCGAAAGATCCCATTTGCTTGTTGCCTAAGGACATTGGTCCATGCCGTGCATCGCAAATTAGATGGACCCATGACGCCGCCACAAACACCTGTATTGAATTCACTTATGGAGGCTGCCGTGGAAATCAGAATAATTTCGAATCTAAAGAGGCTTGTGAAGCCAAGTGCGGAAGTGGGTTTCCCAGTTTTTTTTAAAAAAATAACTTTAACTTAACCCCTATTTGCAGGGTATTAAGGGCTTTATTCTCTTTTAGGTAAATCATACTGATGGACCACATTAAGAACGGTTATTTCAATAAATTTCTTTCTAATCACCACTTAAGTTAATTTCTTTTAACAACTTAAAAGGAAAAACTTTGTTTATTTTTCACTAATAACTCTCTATGATTGTGAATCGCATATATCATCAACCCCTTTCATTCCATTCAGCGATTCTTTCACCGACCCTTCTTTGACTTGCATGAAACTCTAATTCAATTTTAACTCAACATTCGCATTGTATTTGTATTGTATTGTATTGTTCATTTAAAATTTAAACACTATTTAAAACATTAACTAATAAATCATAGATTGAAAGCGTAAGGCATTATGGGATTTTAATTTCGTTCATCAATATATGCAAAAAATCAAGATAGCAAATGAATACTCATAGCATTTTATCAGCAGTCTAAAATTTTTCCCTTTCATAAAAAATTTTTTAATTAATTTAGTAATGTAAAATAATATTTGTTTCTTCAAAAATTGTCCAAATTAAAGGGTACACTCCTCACTGATTTAGCTCATTTAAATTTTGTGAGTATATTTTGGTTATAAAGGGGTGTGCGATAGACTTACCTCCACGTGGTG